CAGACAAATGAACAGGTACTAAGCATGAAAAATCTTCATAATTTTTAAATAATACTGTGGATTCAGAAATGCTGAAATACTGTTTTTCCATAAATAGTAGCAGACTGGAAAAATCCCCAGTTTTACAGTGCCAGAACATGGGCAGTTGTGAGGGCTAAGGAGAAACTACCTCTAAATCAAAGAGCTGTCAGGATTTTCCCATTAAGGTTTTTCTAAGGCTGAATTCAAGATAAAATGCTACATTCATTACTGTGATGTAAAAGATCATTACTGGATGACATCATGGTGCCAGCCGATTGGCCTCTTTACAGTAACAGACTTCACACACACAAGTCCAGATGTGCAGCTTGCTATAAACTTTTAAAGAAATGAACAGTAGTAAGGAAGAGGAAAAACTCAATTAGCAAGTATTTTTTGCCTATTTTCCTTGTTCCTTTGTTTAAAAGACCTTCTTTTAATTAAAAAAAAGTTACTATGAAAAAAAGAACACCCCCCCCCTTTTTTTTTGATCACATCTGATGATCCTGATCACTCCAGTTGAGGTAACTGATCAGCAGTTACCTCAAAGCATCTACTGACAAGTTTAGTCTGTCAGACAAGATTCGTTCATATTATTCATCCAGAAAGTCTTGGGTTTATAGCAGTTCCAGAGTAAAATAAACCTATACTGGCAGCATATTTTTAGTCTATATATCTACAGCTACATGAGTCTTTTATGAGTAAGGAAACATCTCCAAAAAATGTAACTTAACCAGTATTGTTATTCTGGGAAATATTTCTAGTGCTCTAATTCTAAATGCTAGTACAGCTATTGCCTGACAGTTTACTCTGCAGCATATGGTTTATGTCAATATGTTTCTAAAAAATAAAACAAGCAGAGAGTCCAGTTTTCAGTTCACTCTACAGGAAGTAATCGCAACTCCACTGGAAATTGTGTATCAATTGTTGCATTTATCTAGCAGGTATAACTACATGCATTAAATATTTTGGCTGGTAATATAGTTTTAAAAGACATCATTTTCATTTAGATTGACCACAGATACATTTACTTAAATCAATTGGTTTATAGCAAAGACACAGTGGATGTATTTATCTACAAATTGAAGTTCGGCTTCTATAACTGCAAGTGAGGAACATTGGCTTTTTCTGCTTTACTAGCTTTATCTTTAATCACACTTACAGAGAGCCCTTAATGCGTTGTGAGATCCAATAATTGAAGTGGTAAGGTTAATGGGGCATCTTGTTATGCTACATGTTTTTATTGCAAATAATTTTATATATTAAATGCATGAAAACTTTGCCATGGGAAAGGGAGACAAGAATTTGAGTGGCTAAAGAAGGTGAGTCCTAATAGCTGGTTGCAAAAATAAAGTTTAAGAACAATGAGAGCAGCTGCCTTTAGAGAATGACAAAATCGTAAGATACAATCAGTATCTGAACTGTAGTGGTGAAATATTTTGTCTAGCAATGGCAGATCTGAGGGAGTTAAAATAACTTTAAAAAACGCACATGTGATTATCTTAATTCATCCTATAAAAGCCAGGACATACTAATTGCTATTCAGTATCTTTTATGTATGTGACTGTACCTGCCATACTCAGATCTTCTGATCACCTCTCTGGCCATAGAGATGCTGAGCATTGCCTCCACTTTCAGTGTAGAAATACAGTACAGAGATGTTTTTATACAGAATAAGAACTGTGGTCTAGACCATTCCCTGTCAGGATAATTTCTGAGATAGGTTTTTGACTAAGTGGCCATTTGGTAAAGGCATAAGGTTATTTTCTCAAGCAGTCACCATGCTCTCACAGGATATTTCCAGTGGTGGTACAGTATGGAGAATTTTCTATGTCAGTGGTTGTTCTTATAATGCATCAAATGGGGCACTGCGAGAAATGCACATGTAATCCTCAGGACACACAACACTCCTCATTACCCCAGCTGAAGAGGCAGTAGTTGCCTTACCACAGCCAGGGAAAGGCTCTGGTTCCCTCCCTGCCACCAGTACTGGTTATCTGTTTATTGCAAAACATGTGATTTAAAGCCTGAATTTGCTTGCTGTGCTCTCCAATGTTCAGAGAATTGAAGAAACTGTGCTGCTTGATAAGCAGCATGTACTGTGCTTTTGTACAGTACTTATTGTCAATAAAATGTAATTTGGCTAAAACAAAAATACTGATTGTCAATAAAGTACAAATCAGCTAAAACAAAAGGCGTATTTCTGACAAAAACTTCCACAGCTGTAGAGGCAGTAGAAGTGATCCAGAAAATACTGACATTATTAAAACGGCAGGTTTAATTATTTTTTCTTAATATCCAAACTCTCGTGTTCAAACTTTCAAACAGAATGGCAGCATGAGCAGTAGGCATTTGTAATGTTTGTAATTTGTTATCAGCTGAAAGCTGTATTAAAGAACATTAACTAAACATGTTTCTGCTACTGCGCTTCTACCAAACATGCACTCCTACACATGCTGAAATCTGTACAGCAAACCTGGTGTGAAAAAGGCTGCCACAGAAACCCTCCTGTGTGTACTGAGTACCTTTCTTCATCGTTTGTACATAGAATAGACAGAAGTGTGTCTTTTAACAGCCAGATCGTTCATCCCCAGGACATAAGCAATTCCATGGGATATGATGAAACTTATTTTAAAAAATAAAGACATAACTAAATGTAGCATGTAATCATTTAGATTGAGACTGGAGGAAAAATGGTCCTGTTCAATGAAATGTACAGGACACTTTTAGGAGACCAGAATATAACTTTTGGGATTGTTAAACAAAGAGAGAAATAAAACTGACATGAATTCTCTCATTTTTCATTAGAATTTTGAATTTCCAGCAACCTCCAGGATGTTCATTTTGTACTTTACCAAAGTGCCATATGCAAAGCTAAAGAAATAGCAGGAGGTTTGGGGTTTGATGTAACTCCCAGAGTTAGCCCAAATCCGCAAGTGTGCAATGTATATAGAGAAAAACTGTTCACACAGTCTTACTTAAAGCTGCTTAACAGCTTAAAATGATAAAAAGTCCTTAACACAATTTAAGAACTTAAACCACTTAAATGGTTTGAAGCAGCTTGTGAGTTTGAGGAGTTTTGTTGGGGGTGGGAGAGGCATCTCTGCTGGGCTGCTGCCCTGGGGACAGAGTCAGCAGGCTCCCACACGGTATGTCCCGGCAAAGGGGCCCTTTTGGAGGTGATGTGATGGAGAAGATGGAAGAGTTTTCTACATATTTTTGTATAGTATTGTGTATATGCCCAGATTGCTTTGCTTTAAATAGTGTTGCAGGGAATCTTACAGGGATATGAGGTGTAAGCAGTGGCATCCCCAAAGTCATAGAATAGAATCATAGAATCATTTAGGTTGGAAAAGAGCTTTAAGATCATCAAGTCCGACTGTTAACCTAGCACTGCCAAGCCCACCACTAAACCGTGTCCCTAAGCACCACATCTACACATCTTTTAAATACCTCCAGGGATGGTGACTCAGCCCCTTTCCTGGGAAGCCTGTTCCAATGCTTGACAACCCTCTTGGTGAAGAAATTCTTCCTAACATTCAATCTAAACCTCCCCTGGTGCAATCAAGAGACACTGATCTGTTTCCTGCATCTGCTTAGACTCAGATGTATTTACTCTGGTCTTTAAATAACCTATTGCTACTCTTTAGGAGCTTTTTCTCAGTCCTGTAGAAGTGTCTATTTTGTCTATGACAAGTCTTCAGCTGTGGAAAACAGCTTCAGCTGATGGGCCAAGGGAAGGCTCCTCAGGAGCATTGTGAAGAAAACTTCTGCAAGAGCTGCAAGGCAAAATGTTTTGCTTTTGTGGCTTCAGGAGTTGGAGGCAGGTGGGAGGTGGCATGAGTGGGCCTTTCAGATGTTTTGAGGAGGATTTTTTTCTCTGAAAGATTGTTTTTGGGAAAAAGAAATGGGGGCGGGGAGGCAAGGAGGGTTGCTTTAGTTTGATCTCAAACAGCGTTAGTCAGTTGGTCATATCAGAAGCACATTGTTGTTATTATGTGAAGTTGTACATTTATAAAACATAAAATAAACCTTTATTTATGAGATTCGGTTTGGTCCCTACTACTGCATGTGGTGGTCAATGGCTGAATATGTGTTTGCATGTGTGTATGCTCAGATGAAAAAAATGGTGGCACTGCACAGAAGCGATACTTGAGAACAAAGGAAGGAGGCACAGGAATGAACATCTGAAGGTGGAAAACAGCTAGGATGCTTCTTCTGATGGCAGTGATGCCACCTTAAATATTTTGAAACTTGGCCTGGCTTTCATTGATGTAGGCAGTGATTTACACCTTTCTGTGCAGAAAAAGCTGTAAACCAGGAGTGAATTATATTCTGTACGATTTGAAAATAAATGGTGCATTCACAGCCACTCATGTTGAGGCCCATTTACACTTCCAGAGTGGTATGATGAGCAAATGAAAGTTAGGCCTGTGTGTGAATGAAAAATGCCTGTTTTACCACAGGCTGTGAAAAGAGAGCAAGAGAGAGACTTAGTGGAAATTGGAAGCGAGACTTTTGTTTGTTTAAAACAATAGTATTGATTTGGACTCAGATGGAGTATTGGTGTAACTGCAAACTAATTCCACTGAATTCTGCAAGGTATTTCTGGTGATGCTGATGGGCTGGAAGTTTATATTTATAATCTCAGTTTTTCCTCTACTGTAGTAAGTCTTTATTGCACTACATTCTTCTGCAAACTTGGCATTGTGACATTTAGCATGAATGTTATCTGTGCAAAAAAAAAAAAAAATCTTTACTGGGGTGAAAAAGAGCTCCAGTATAGCTAAATTCATATGATCTCAATACTATTAAATTGCTCCTTGGTTTTCTTTTATGATGGGGAAAGAGATATGCAAATGTTACTTGGTGAGGGCAAGTGCTTTCTGACTAATGATAGACATGGAAAGAAACCATTTAATGAATGAAATCTTGGTAATGTACTACGTAATACTAATATCTCAATATTGCTTGAATTTCAGAACATTTCAAGATCTGTCCAAACAAATGGATATATCTTACGGTACAGTCAGAGATTCAGCAGTGTATGAATACTTTAAAGCAAAAGGGACCAACCCTTTGGAGCAGGATAACACATTTGCTGAACTGTGGAGGACTATCAGTAAGAATAATGGGGCGGATAATTGTGTATCGAACCCTTCTGAAGGAATCAGGAAGGTAAGACTGGATCACAGGGGGTTTAATTTAATTTTTGTGCTGTATCAATGTTGATTGCATGGAGTTAATAATGTTAAGTCACAGGAGAGATATTACATAGTCATTAAAAAAAAATAAAACTCCTTATCTAAAGTTCCTTTTAGTAACTTGGTGGCAGGTAAAAATCATATTTTGGGGTCATGGTTTTGAATTTAAGTACGTTAGCTCTGCCTAAGTATTCAGTATATAGGTCCTTCTTTGGATCTGGCCATAAGGTTTCTCAGTTTCTTTGAATGTCATTCTTTAGATTATCCAGGTACTGACTGTTGTCCTTTGCTCATTTGAGTATATTTTGTTTTTCTGAGTCAGTGGATCGAACTTATTGGAAATCCAAGCAGGAATAGAAGGATTCACTGAACATACACTAATTTCTCTTAGAACAGAAATTTAATGCAAAATTTTCTTTGTTTATTCCAAACTTTAAAAAAATGCATATACTCTTGCACGTCACTGTGCTTTCACCTAACTTTTATTTCTCCCAGACATGACTATACATTTTTTTGGTGAAACTGAGCATTAATGTGGGATTCAAGTTCTGATATATAACAGCTTGGAATCCTACATCCCTCTGATAAGTCCTGTGATAAACAGCCCTGGTTCAGATCATGCAAATACAAACATCCACACTTTCTCACTCTTAGTCTGCCTCTCTTGTCTGCTTCCCACCTTGTAGCTCAGCAAAACTACATAGTAAATAACATCAAACCACGTGCGTCCAGGGGTTCATTACGGTAGAAGGGATGCAGACATGGTAAAAGCATAATGTGCTGCTCCTTTACTGAAAATTGTCGCCTTTATTTGTCAATTGATTTTTTTCATAAAACAAGCTAACAGCTGTTATTAACGTAGTGATTGTTTGATCAGAGTTACTCTGTTGTCAGTGAAACACTGATTCTGAATAAATATACCACTAGTTCTTTATGCTTTTGTAAGTGGGAAATAACTAAATGTTTGCAGCTTGGGTTTCTTTTTTTTTACCTGAATCTTTGAAACTTTTTCTGAACCGTCAGAGGGAAAGCATCCAAAATTTACTAGTTTCTACAGTGCCATAAGGGGGTGAACACAGTAACACAGGTCATCCCATTTCCCACATCAAAGTCCTTTAACATAAGATTCCCAATTGTTTGTGTGACTTTTGGACAGAATCCTTATACAAACACTCTTGTGTCTTCTCAGCACAAGAGTATTTAGTCAATAGTTTTGGTTCACCCTGCCTTTTCTCCCATCTCCCAGCTGAGCTTTCCTGAAGCCCCCTGCTCTTGGCTCAAATAGCCTTTGTTCCTTGGTACAAGGCAGAGCTCTGGCAATAGCAAAGTCTGCAGTGTCTTGACTTTTTTTTTTTTTATCTGCTCAGCACTTTATGAAAATGAGGCCTCTATTTTAAGACACTTTGTTAGCATTTGAAGGAGGTAGAAATAGAGACATTAAGTCCTTTTCTATGTACTCTAACATTAAAAGCAATAATAAACCAGTTTACCTTAGAAAAAAGCATAGTATTTAACTTTTTTTTCTTTTTTACCATTCTTATGTCAATGGACACTCTTTAGCCATGACATTGTAAATACTCTTATTCTGTATGCCTACTGCATACTGCCATTTATGATAGCTAGATTTGCCTAAGTCAGAAATTTATCTGTAGATTGGCAGGCTGTTCAGAATAACCAATTATATTGTTTGGATGGAGCTGGCAGCTCCATCTTATCTATGTGATAATAACTTTTCATATTAGGTTTGATTTCAATATTGTACAGTGATTTTTATCTAACTTGATCAGTTCACTCAATTAACGTCAACAATAACCAAATTTACTTCAGTCCCCAAAGCTGACCAAGGCTGCTATTTGATTAGACACCTCCATAAATTTGGCTTAATATTTAATAATATTGTCAACTAAACTCTTGTGTCTGTAGTTTAAATGTCACTCTTCCTAGCTCATTGATCTCTTTGAATAAACAGACAAATTTTCCATGTCAAGTATTACAGCTAGAAATTCTATTTTTTCTAAAGGAGAACTGATATCAGCCAAGGAGATGGGACTTTCCATCTGTAAACACGTACTGCTGCATGAAAGAGATGTAAACGTGCCTTAAAAATTTATTTTATAGGAAATGTGAAATCTAACTCTCTCTAGCATAAAAAGATCCCTAGAACATTTTTCTGAATGGGGACTTGCCCGATACAATGCAAAAAAAATCTCTACTAGCCTTTCTCCTCTCCTTCCCCTTTCCATTTTCTTCAGACAGCATCACAGTTCAGCTGCAGTTACAACAGAACAATGCCACTTCAATGCAAAACAGGAGAGTGCTGCTTATTTATGGTACAGGCAGGTATTTCAGATGTTTGTCTCTGTTCCATTTCCCAGAGATTTTCCTACTCCCTTTGACTGCCTAAAAACAAAAGCATAATAGTGGAAGAAAGTCCTGAGAGCTTTTGTGGCTTTTGGTTGCCATGGCAGAGGTCTCTTTTCAGACACAGGACAGTCTCTGTAGCCCCAGTGACCATCTCCCATTGTCAAGGCACAGCTTTTGCAACACTGGTAGAGCCATAGAAAGGGCATTAATGCACTGCAAAGTCACATCAGCAATGGAAGGACGTTTCAGAGCCAGGGGAGCAAGTTGCTTTTGCTGTACTCCCAAGGCAGTTGAAAGTGGTCATTGCAGATGGAAAACATCCTCCTATTCATAAATGTCTCTGCATAGCGTAAGAGGAGGTTACCAGACAAATTACCAGTCCATACAAGATGCTATTTTGCCACTTGGGTTTTCTGGTACTAAGACAGATGGCGATTGACTAATGCTGTCGTATGGAAAGTTTCTTTCTGGGTCAAGCTACAGCCAGGATCCCCAAGAAGCATGCAGTGGGTAGCTCCTGCTGTCTTACCCCAGGTGGACATTGGTACTGAAATTGCACGCGTTTCTAAGCCATTTGTAAATTTCAGCAAACTGCATAATACCCAGTGGCAATCAGTTCTTCAGGGTATTTAATAATTACCACAACATATGTAATAATCTATGGCTTTTTTCATTTTGGGCAGCCATTTTTGCTTTGAAAGAATGAAATAATATGATAGCTATGTGATCCTATGTATATCTTTTATATATATATATACACATAGAAGAATTAAATTGTTATTGTTGTATTTTTTACAAGCTTTGCTTTGGTGGAGATTGTTTGCTCCCCGTCCAACCAATTTGGTGCCAAAATTTCTCTGAATCCTTTCTTTTCTTACTGTGTATCACTTTTGATGAAAAGTGATCAACACCAAGTACAGTACCAAATGTGAATGTATCGTTGATTTAGGCAATGGCACAATAAGAGTTTATTCCTTCCCCTTTTTGCTTCCTTCAAAAAGTTTCTCTTTTCTCTCTCCTAACGAACACTAAACATTAAATTAGAGTGTTTCTTGTTGAACAGTCACCTTTGTTCATTTTTATTTTAGGACTAAAAGTAATTTAAAAGTTCAATGAATAGGATTTTTTTTAAACTAATCTTTGCAATCATTTATTGTCCACAATGAATTTTACATTGTGAATTGTGGTTGCTTATCCATACGTTTTCATGGGTCCTCATAAATTTCTCCATTTCTTGACACACCAGCCTGTGGAGTAAAAGCCTGAATATATTACATCCCTTAGTGGCTCCTTAATTATACTACTTTTTAAATCATTTGAACAGGATTAAATGACATGTTTTCTTTTCATTAGAACTGTGTTGCTTCTCTTAAAGCACTTTATTATAGATAATAAATGTTATCCAAGCCAGTTTTGAACTAATCCACTAATGCCAACGTGAAGGTCATTTTTCGATATTTCTGTGGTACCAGCCATATAATGGCATCAGCTACAGTGACACTTTGTTCTGTCAGGAAAATTAATGAAGAATGTCATATTATTCTGGCACTTCTGTTTTTAGTATGGTAGATTCTTCATAAGTTTCAGATAAATCACAGACATACCAGTGATTAATCTGAAATTCATCTTTTTTCAAGTTGTTATTATTTCTTACCATGCTTTCTTTGAAAAACTATCATATTGCCATCAGTAAGCCAGGATCCTTTGAACAATATTCTTTCATCTCCTTCTATGTTGAAGAGTGACTTTACGAGGTTGCTTACTGCTTTTCTGAAGTATTACTATTCTCTTTCTGGTCCTTCTTATATCTAGGAAGCATTCTTCCCTGGCCTTTTAATTTTTTATGATTGTAAATAAGAAATATTTTTAATATAAGATTTGCCTAGGGAGGTCTTTTTTTCTTAAATCTGTTTTCTTAAACCTCTTCAACCAAAGATAAATCTGGTGTCTTTGGTGTAAACCACCATAGCAGTTCCACCTGGGTGGAATAAATGAGTGCTGCTTTAGCTGAATTTCTGTTAACAAGGTTTTTGAAAGTTTAACAGAGCTATTTTTGTTTTGTTCTGCAATATGCCTGCATGCTGAGAGTCGCAGTAAGGCCATAGCAAAGGAGCAAAATATGAAAGCCAATTAAAAGTCTAAAGTATAAATTTTAGTTTATTAGTCTGTGTTTCATTTCAGTCATACTTCATTCAAGCTATCTCACCTATTCTCAGCTGGCATTTGCCACATTCCCTTTTACCATCTCTCTCTCTCTCTTATCTTTGCAATGATGTCTGATCACTGGAACATTTTTAAGGGCCCTAAAAACATAAAATGCAGGCTTTAGGTGGCCGAGCTGTGAATGCAAGAGCCTGAGGATACGGATCCTTGCTGTATTGGGATCAGGACTTGGTTGCATGGGTACATATGTCTGTGTCATATGCAACTAAGGAGCCTTGGTATGTTTCCTGCTCATACATCCCATGGGTCAATGCCAGATGTAATTCTTAGTCTTCCTACCTCCAGTATCCCTCTGGTCTGGAAGCTAAGGGTTATGCACATATGCACCCATGCATTCTTTCATGTGACAAAAATTAAAAGTTTACACTACTTTTTAAAAGTTTTGGTTTGATTTTTCATTGAAAATAAGTGCCAGTTTGATTTTATTTGGCTTTTACTGCTTGCCTAGTGAAGGTATAGAAAAAGTAAACATACCTCAAACACACATGTATGTGTGTGGTTGTGTGTCTTGTACATACATTTTTCAAAGTTTGTCAGTTTTTCTTTAAATTGAACAAATGATACTGCTTAGCTGTCACAACAGATATTAACAGGGATGTAAAGGATGATGAATTTAGACAGCAACTAAACATTTAGTCATAAGGAAGCTTTCCATGCAATGAACACACTGATAGTACAAGGTCTCTGTTCCTCAGAGAAGAAAATTATGCAAGTGGAAGAAGTTTTGGAATAGACAAATCTTCCCTTTGGAAAAAGGGATCTTGGGAGATTCTACTTTTTTGCAATCAGAGAGGGGAAACAGTCTTACATCCAGTATTTCTGGGACCTGAGAAGTATGCATAACTAAGAGTTTAAAACTCAGATTCCAGTTTATGCTAAAATGATCAGGCTGTCAGAAAGTAATGCTCTACAGATATGATGGTACTTGATAGAATGTTTTATGTAGTAAAAAACATAAAATTGATATGAAGAGACCTGGTAGTCTTTGTTTATTGACGACTCACAGTTGTAGGACATAACTTAGGATAGCAAAATTGCAAATGCAATAGAAGTAGACCTTTTCAAAAGATCTGCTGTCTAACATTGAAAGTCAGTGTATAAAGCTCTTCTATATAAAATAATATACAGAAAACATACAGAAAATTGGGGCTTGAAAAGTAGAATCAATAATGTGATTTTTCTCTAGCCATTGAAATCGAATATTTGAGGAAGATTGTGTTCCTCAAGTATTACTAAGAAAAAGATGAGGAATGTATGACGTTGTCAATGTTCTTTTCTAAATTGTAAATTTGAAAAGATGATTTATACAGCAATTCCAAAACAACTAAAAGATACAGCTCTTTAAAACAAACAAACAAACAAAAACTGGAAAAATGCAAGACAGATTTTAGCACAGTGATTTAGGCCAAATCTTTTCTGGGTCTCCTCTTTCTGTACATCCATCAAGCAAGTTTTTTGTTCTCTAATAACATGGATTTTGAATAAATTCTGTGTACAGCAACAAGTGCTGTTGTTGTTGGTCCCATGAGTACATATTTCTACGCGCTTGAACTTGGGCAATTTTCTATCAGAGGTAGCAAAAGCCTATGTACTATTTACCGTAGAACTTATTTGCCTGATATGTGCAAAAATAGAGGTTTTGATGGTCCTTCCCTGCCAGGAACACCAATGTGACTAATGTCCATTGCCTGTTGTCCCTAACCAGGTAGGAGGCCTATCAGCGCCATTGCAGATGTGAAAGCATAAAATGTGAATTGTTAAAGCCCATCACAGAAGAGCAGAGGGCAAGATGCAGAGATTTGCTGCTAACAACCCAGTTAGTTATGGGTACATGCTCATTCAGAAAACACCTTTGAAAAGCACATTTTAGGCTTCCAAGAATGTAGGTTGCTGGCTGAATATAGGCTAGATGCCTTGAGGAATCACTCCCTTGCCATCCTTAATTCTTTATGCATCCTTGTGTTGATATCTTATGAAGCCTTTTCTGGCTGTTGCATGTATTAAAGAGCAATTTGTTTGTTCTTTCCTCCTTTGTGCCACCATTACCGGTTTAGGTAGACAGTCAGGTATAGTATTATGATGCAGATGTGGAAGTCTTCTCTGGTCTGGTTTCATACAGTGACATTGAAGTGAGAGATATTTTTATGAACATGCTAGTTTAATAAGTTGTGTCAGCTAAATCAATGTATGATTTTAACAGTAGAGTCCTATGGCTCCTATTTGAATAACTCCTGTAAGGCCCATACTGTAGTTAAGATTTTAATGATGTTTTGTACTAGTATAGCAGTAGTTGTCTGAGGCTGTATTCATTAATTACTGTTACTCTGAACTGACCAGGGAGGTGGCAAAGGAGAAAGTGGGGACAAACCCACAACAGTGGCATGGTTTTAACAAAAAATTATTTTCAAAGTGGTCAGTACAGGCTCATTTAAATCTTACCAAAGAGGAAGGTTATAACATTTTTACTCTGGTTTAAGTCAGAAGCAAATTAATTTGGGGATCTTTGATTGTCTTGATGCAGATAAAAGGGAAGGGGGGGGAGAGAGGTGAATTGTGGCAAGTAGCTTACAGAAAATCCAGACAACATACTTTTAATCATTGTTTCCCTGGATTCTACCCACTAGAATATAACTCACCCATTTGATTTATGGTCATGTTTAAGCAACTGTTAGGGACTTGAGAAAGCTATGTTTTATATCAAAGCATGGTGAAGTAAAATTAGCTTAATTGCTCAACTGAGGAACCCAACATAACCACCAAGGGAGTCTTACAGGCTTACAGGCAAATTCAAAACTGAGCTTGCACAAAAATGGAAAATATCATAGAATCATAGAATCGTTTAGCTTGCAAAACACCTTTAAGATCATCAAGTCCAACAGTTAACTCAGCACTGCCAAGTCCACCACTAAACCATGTCCCTAAGCACCACATCTATACATCTTTTAAATACCTCCAGGGATGACGACCCCAACACTTCCCTCGGCAGCCTGTGCCAATGCTTGACAACCCTGTTGGTGAAGAAATTCTTCCTAATATCCAATCTGAACCTCCCCTGGCACAACCTGAGGCCATTTTCTCTTATCCTATCACTTGTTACTTGGGAGAAGAGACTGACCCCCACCTTGCTACAGCCTCCTTTCAGGTAGTTGTAGAGAGCAATCAGGTCTCCCCTCAGCTTCCTTTCCTCCAGGCTGAACAACCCCAGATCCCTCAGCTGCTCCCCATCAGACTTGTGCTCCAGACCCTTCACCACCTTCGTTGCCCTTCTCTGGACACGCTCCAGCACCTCAAGGTCTTTCTTGTAGCGAGGGGCCCAAAACTGAACACAGGATTTGAGGTACAGCCTCACCAGTACTGAGTACAGGGGGACGATCACTGCCCTGCTCCTGCTGGGCACACTGTTTCTGATACAAGCCAGGACGCTGTTGGCCTTCTTGGCCACATGGGCACACTGCTGAGTCACATTCAGCTGGCTGTCACCCAACACCTCCAGGTCCTTTTCCACCGGGCAGCTTTCCAGCTGCCCTTCCCCAAGCTCGTAGCATTGCTTGGGGTTGTTGTGACCCAAGTGCAGAAGGATGAGCTAATTCTGTGCCAGAGCCACAGCCATTTGCTAGGGGAGCTTGGTGATTCAGTTCTCATAACGAAATATATGCAGGACTTCAGCTCCCTGCCTTGCTTTGTTCTGACCTAAAGAAAGATCTGAAATCACCCGAAGCTTAAAAAAAAAGTAAGTCTTGGAAGTCTGCAATCGTGACTACTCATTTATTTGCATTAGATGTTCCAGTCCATCTGTTCCGTTGTGCTCTGTATGTTCACTAGAGACTTAAAAGCATACTACTTAAATTTATTAGGAAACCAATGATTACTTTAACCAAACAAAATGATGACTTTTTTCTTTACTGAATCCCTATCCAGAGATGTTACTTACATCTTATGTTAAGTAAGGTGATTTACATTCATCATATGCACTGTGTGCAGGCATTGGTCTGAATCCCAACTAAGGCTGACATTTAAGGACTTCTGCGTGGGTGTGTGCTAAAATAAAACAATATTTGGCCCAAAACTGAGACAATAGGAGATGCTGGTGACTCTTACCTGTCAAAACCAGATGGAACTCTTTAAGCTCAGAGCATGCCTTTTGTTATAGGACTAACATAGCTCTCAGAAGGGGTTTTGTTTATTTACATGTTTATATGAGGAAAGCTGCAAAGTTACCATTTTGGTGACTGTGATGACTAGGAAGCACCACTTAGTGCTCATACTGTACCCGTCTAGTTACATGAATGTATGGAACCAGTCTTACTCCATGTCTCCTATAAAACATACATCACATTTCATCAGCTAAGGCAATAGCTTTCATTTATAATTAATAACCTATTATGTAAGCCTTTCCTCCACTTACAGTTGGCTATGTTATCCTATGTATTCCTATTAAAAATGGAAGACATTTTAGTGAGGTTTGAAGTGGATGACGTACTGCTGGGAGGCAAGAGTATTAGAAATGTACTAAGATGTTGGAGGTCTACAGATAAATTGTGACCTAACAAACCTCAGGGTTTGTTTATTTGTTTGCTTGGGTTTTATCCTACCTAGAAATGTAGTTTAGATTGTGTTGCGTTCATGCTGTATTTACAGGCAAAGAAAGGAAACTATGCTTTCCTGTGGGATGTGACGGTGGTGGAATATGCCGCATTGACAGATGATGAATGCTCTGTGACAGTCATTGGAAACAGCATCAGCAGCAAAGGATATGGGATAGCACTCCAGCATGGAAGCCCCTACAGGGATCTTTTCTCCCAGAGGTAAACTGAAACAAAGCTCATTTTATAGGATTTCTCTCTACAACCAGCAACCATTTGCAGTTCACTTTAATTTTGGCAATTATTGAATAAAGGGTAGTGAATAAGTGACAGCAGAGAGGTTATGAGTTCAGGCTTCAACAAAGCTGCTACTTCTGCTCCATGTGCATCTGCTTAGGGAGGGGACTGGAGGTGGTGTGTGACCTGACACCTCCAGGCAGCACTGCCTCTGGCAGAGAAAGGACTGATGTCCTCAGAGCTTTGTATGAGCTAGGGGACAGATTGAAGAGAGATCTTTGATTCATGCTACGTTTTGCAGGCTATGAAGCAATGTGTTGCTCCCTACAGTAAGCAAGTAATAATGCCCTGGTTTATCCTTTAGGGTGGAGAGACAGGTCGAAGACTCACAATGGTACAGGAGAACAAGAATTGCTGAGTATCGCAGCGGATTGCCAAGACTATGAGACTATAAGACTATGCCATTTAGTGATCTCTGAGCTATCAGCTAGCAATATCTTTTTCATGTGAATGTGTACCTGAAATGAAGATACGCAGTTGTGCAGGCATGTGTGGCCTTAGCAGAAGGTGAGCGGGTGCTCCGCTCCAGGCAGGGAGCTGAAGCAAGATTTCCTTGTCTCGTTCCTTCTTTATAAAAAGGAGTAAAACTCCAGATGCATAACCAGAGACAAAGTTGCCTCAAGAGAAAAGACTGTTAGTAAACAGCTAAAACAGTTATCAAACCAAATCCAAAATGAATCATTCATGGAGAGAAGGCACACTTCACAAGAGACAAAACAATGATTAATTAGCCACTGTTAACACAGTAATTCAAGCGTAGAGTAACAGCATTGAAGTAAAATCCTTTTGAATAAACTGCATTTGCTGAAGTAAATGAGTTGGTCGCTGCTTAAACAGATTTGTATTAAGTGGCGCACAAATAGTAGCATGTTTAGCCTTACATGATTTGGAAATTATTGTGGGAGAGCAGCAGTGGAGTGGGTTGAGCATTTTGCTAGTGGAACCAGCTGTTGCAGCTGAATGTAGTCAGACCAGCCATGACTAACTGGAATATGGTGATTTCCCTTGGAAATGCTTCTTGCATTGCAGTGGAATTTTTAGAGTCTCTTCCTTTCCTAAGGTTGCCCAATGGAGTTTACCTGCTGCTGCGAGTAGCAAGAAATCCTGGTATAACAAGAGTTTTAGATGAAGAATTCTATGTGGTGGTGGTGGTGGGATGGCATTTTGAATTGCGGGATGGTAGATTTAAGGGTTATGTGACAAACAGAAAAGACCAAAAAACTGTGAAAAAGTATCATTGAAAGTAATATTTGCCTTTTGAAATTTCTGCAGGATCCTAGAATTGCAAGAAAGCGGAGATTTGGATGTTCTTAAACAGAAATGGTGGCCGCGGATGGGACGTTGTGACCTGAATAGCCATACCAATGCACAGACAGATGGGAAGGCACTCAAGCTTCACAGTTTTGCAGGCGTTTTCTGCATTTTAGCAATAGGCCTTCTTCTTGCATGCTTGGTGGCAGCATTGGAGTTGTGGTGGAACAGCAACCGTTGTCATCAAGAAACACCGAAAGAGGTCCATAACTTTTATTCTTATCACAATTAAAAGTAGAAAACATAAAAGAAAGAGAGTGTGAGTGGAAGTTGTGGGATTTTAGGTGTTCTCATACAATAAATTTGATTTATTTTGATTCGCCATACTAAGCTTTGCATATAACTTTTTGGGTGGTTGTTTCTAAACAAATAAAAAAAAAAACCCTAAATGTATCATTTGTGCACATGGAAGGTGCCAAACTGACCGCCCTGGAGACTAAAGTCCTCTATTTATTTATAGAGCAGATACAGCATGGGCAGCAGCAGTGCAAACTTCCCCACATTGCCCCACCAATGTGCCTCAACCCTGACCTGGAGAGACCACCTTTAGGGGTAAGAGAGTAGTTCAGAAACATGCCCTTGGCCTCTCTGCTGTGAGTGACAGGGAGGCCAGTCACGGGCACCCAGTTGTGCCACCTGTGGTAATGTCTTCTCTGATCTGAGACCCCATCCATCCTGCACAGGCTGTGCAGCTGCCAGCCAGCTGGTAGCAGTTTTCCTTCATGGCTGACCAAGGCTGAGTTTGAAGAGGTACACGACCAATTTAAAATAAACCAGCTAGCTATTAATTGAACAAGCCATATTGCCATGACACTGTTTAAATGCTTCCTTTCTTTTGAAATCAGTGTTATTTCTAAAAGTAGGAGCCTCTGAGTGAACCAACCTTCATATGACATATTTTACCTAGGAAAATACATCTGAGAATTTCTTGGTCTTGAAGTTTTCATGCACAGCAGCAAGTAATAGTTAGCAATGCTATGATAGAATAATCAGTCAGATCTGTCTTGCATGAAACCTATATTTGTTTACATAGATTAAATGTTTAACAAACTAACCTCTTGTAATTTTGGAGACACTGAGGCATTTGTAGATGCTTTCATCTTGGAACAGATGTTTGTTACAAGCAAATAATAGCGGCGAGCTGCACTATAGCTGGAAAAAAGTACATAGCCCATCAGTTCCAATCTATGTTTCTGAAGTTGCCAGGAGTACTACACTAATTGACATACCTATCACCTGTAAGCAATTCTGGCAAATGGGATCTGAAGATATATGTTGCAGTCTGTAATGTCGTGAAATATTTATCAGTAAGATTCCATTCTTCTGAGTTCCTGCTTCTCCCATTTGAATTCATCCATCAAATGCTCGGTGATAAACATCTGTACCATGTTTGTGGGACAAAGCTGCAAAGTCACTTGCCTGTGGCTCCACAACACACAATAGCGAAAGGGAAGTTTTGGTAAAAGGAAGCATGTCTCTGCTTTGCACAATGCAGCACTCCAAAAGCAGGCACAGGGAGAGCACGAGGAGGTATTCTTGCTTATAAAGAAGCTTTCATATGAAGAGAAATGCATATTTAATTGCTCTTTGGTTAAATACTGTAGCACTTTGCCCTGCTGCCTTGTAGAAGTCACTCCTGCTGTAACCCCAAAGGCCCCACCCCAGGTTAGCATTGCGAAGGCCTAAACCCCAGCAGTAGAGGGTTCACTGCCCACTGTGGAGGCCTGGCAGGGCAAGGGCAGGGACGTTGTCAGCAGTGTCCCCATGCTGCGTGTGCACAAGCATTTGTCTTGCCATGCTCTGCAGTCCATTCCCCTCTCCACGCTCAGGGAGTCGCCTTCGTGCATCTTTGTAGAGTGAGATAAGTGTATGCCCCAAAGGCAGTTTCACATAGGTAAGGTGAAATAATTAACTCTTTTATTGCAAGGAGTTTTAAATACTCAGTTTACATCTCTGAAAAAGAATCTGTCTTCCTGAGTTTAAATATCTTCTTTTTGACCAACCCCATCATTTCTGGTTTTGTAACTGTGAGAAGCATTATTACAGATCCCTGCCTACCCCATCCCATCTTTTCTCCCCTTCCCGTCCCTCTCCTCCTCCACTTTCCTTCCAGTGTGTTCTTGATTAGGGTTGCTCTGTACATCCTCTTTTGTAGTTTCTGTGACAAAAAGCAGAATACTTTTAAGCTTCCATTTTTTAAAGTATACTGAAGTTACCCATATGGTAAAGCTGTACTTGGGAAGATCCCCTGCCTGTGGGGCTGTGTGTGCCCTTAGAGCACAGCCAGTCTGGGTTACGGGAGGCAAATTAAACTCAGGCACAGCGCACACGAAGAGGCTCAGAACAGGTCAGTGATGTGGCTGCTGCCGAGAGAGAGGAACAGAGTCAGTGGGAGCCCTGGTACAAGTAGGTGTTAAGGTTGAAGGAGAAAGTGCATGTTCCCGGGGGCAGGGCACGGGGATGAGGGCTCACAGGCTGAGCCAGCCAGGAGGAAAGTGTAAGGAGGTTATGTGAGGCAGGTAGGACAGAAGATAATGGGGAGTCCTCAAAAAGGACAGCTGGGTGCAATGAAAGGCAGGTGGCTAGAAGCACCTTTGGATCAGGTCAGAGGAGCAAAAGGGAAGGGCAACTGCTGCCCAGTGCCATGGACAGGCAGAGTCTTCAGGGATCCTCGGCTGGACCGTGCCACAGCCACGTCGTTGTTACAATCTAAGCTTTATTTCTACCCGGACTCTCTGCAGACCGGCTCGTGTAACACGTTAG